CCAGAGCATTCTTGTTTTTGTTTTGAGTTGTGTTTTGGTGATATTACAAGAAAGACATGAGAGCAGCAAGAAGAGACACGATCTTGATAGAGTTGAAATCAGGAGATTGAGAAAGACCGAGCTGGAGACCAGCGAATCCTAGGATGTAATAAGTCTGACGAATGTGATGGAGATGAGGAAAAATAAGCTCGACGCATTTCTTAAGCGACTTGCCTCCGGTCACGTTATACACTATGTCGGAAGCGATCTGGACCAGAAGCTGTTGCGGTAAGACGATCCAGTAACCTAGCTTTGGTCCGAACGCTTCTTGGCCTAGCTCCGGGTAACGGTCTAACCGTTTCCCGGGAACGGCTTCGTGCAACTGCACCATTTGCCACAACGAGTAGAATGTTATAGCCCATGATGCCATTATTGCAACAAGTCCAGGCCCCCTGATTAATAATAATAAAATTTTCGTTAATTACTATTTATTTTTGTTAAGAAGACATAAAACATATTTCTTGACAAAATTTACCAGCCAAGTTGTGACATAGCGAAAGGGAGACCGAGAACTCCGGCGCCGACCATGGCCGTGACATTGTGGAAGGCGGAGTAATACCACTTGGCCTCTCTAGACGCTGTTACCGGTAACCAATCATTGTAATCCATTTGTTTGTGATTAGTCTCCGTCGATCTTCCTTTATTTTCCTCATCATCCTGATCAAGTTTTTAGCGTGGTGAATATAAGGATGTTATAAAATTTTGAAGAATAGCTTAAAAAGGCACTAAAAATTAACATAACATTTTCATTCAGAACAAAATGAGAGTAAATCCGAATGCTATAAAAATGTAAAGCACTAGAGACTCGAACATTACATTTTCTTTCATAGAAGAATGAATTAAAAGTGAGGAACGAATATGATATAATGTTTTTTTTAAAACAAATATGATATAATGTTAGAGAGTATCATTGATGAAACTACATTATTCATGTGAAATATATATATACTTAGAGACAAGACAAGTCGGGCCAAAAGAATTAGATATTGTAAGGTTAGACAAAGCCTAGTACCGGTGAAGTAGGCGTTCGGTATGTCATTCTTGTCTTGTGTTTTCTTCTATACTCACAAAAAAAAAATTAAAAATTAAAAATACAAGAAACTGTATTTTTTTTCTTTTTCTTTTTAATACAATATGTATAAAGAAGTACAAAAAAAGACAAGAAAAGAAGATAACTACTTGTTAATGAAGATTAAGAAAGTGAAGAGTTTATATAGAGAGGTAATTAGAGTGGGAAGTAATTTGATTACTTGGATATTAGGAAAGTGAGGATGGTGTTTTGAACGAGTCTGCGGTTAATCTCATAAACTTAAAAAAAAAAAGTCACTTGTAAATCTAACGACTATGGTCTCTCCACATTTCTTTACTCTGAGATTTTTTCTTCTTTCTTTATTTGCTACCCTCATTTCTAGCCTTATTCTTCCCGATGTTCCAGCGTTCCCACAAGTCAATAAGGCTTTTGTTTTTTCTCTCTTTAAAAATCATAAAAGTTTCGAGATTGTATATATATAATAATTTGAAAGGAGAAAATTTTATACAGTTTCA